AGACCGTATCATTTATAGTAACAAAAAATATTGTTTAGGGATAAATTTAACAAAATGTGCAAGGCGTATGCAATGAAAACTACCAATCACCATTGAGGGAAATTGAAACCTAAATAAGTTGTAAGATCTGCCCCATTTTTGGATTGGAACTATTAAAATGCCCTTGCTCCCCAAATTGTCCCATATAGTCAGTTTGATTTTTTTTTTTTTTTTTTTTTTTTTAAACAGAGTGTTGCTCTTGTCACCTAGGCCAGACTGCAATGGTAGGATCTCGGCAACCTCTGCCTTTTAGGTTCAAGTGATTCTCATTCCTCAGCCTCCCAAGTAGCTGACACTGCAGGCACATGCCACCACACCCATCTTATTTTTGTATTTATAGTAGAGATGGGGTTTTGCCATGTTGGCAAAGCTGGTCTCCAATCCTAGCTTCAAGTGATCCACCCGTCTCAGCCTCCCAAAGTGCAAGGATTACTGGCATGAGCCACCCTGTCCAGCCCCAACTTTTAGAAATATAAATTAACAAGCTGATTCTAAAGTTTAATTGTAAATACAGGGGGCCTAGAACAGGCAAAAACAGTTTAGAGAAAAGTAAAGTTGGAGGATTACACCCTGGTCCCAAGACTTTAACAGCAGTAATCAAGACCATGTGGGAAGGCTAGCTACACAGATCTACTGAACAGAGCAACAGCCAAGAAGTAGACCCATGAATACACATTCAGTTGTTTGGGTTTGTTTTTGAGAAAAAAGCCAAGTTAATTACAATGGGGGCAAGGTTAGTCTTTTTACAGACAGTACTGTAGCAACTAGATGATTATGTGTGAATAAAATGAACTTCAACTCCCGCTTTTCTCGTCAAAATTAACCTGAAATGATAGATTTAAATGTAAAGCTTTAAAAATTCTACAAGAAAACAGGGGAAAAAACTTACGAGTTTGGAGTAAGCAGATTTCTTAGGATGTGAAGAATAGAAATTATGAAGAAAAAGTATATTGTGCGTTATTAAAAGTTTGCTTTCTTCAAAAGACATCAATAGAAAAATAAAATGTGAGGAACTCAGAAAGTATTCATAGTACCGTATCTGACAAAGGATACGTGTCCAGAATATGTAAAAATCTTCTACAGATCAAAAAGACAAATGACCCACTTACAAAGAGGGGGCAAAAGATCTTAGTAGACATTTGACTAAGGAAGATATACCAATGGCCTGTAAACCCACATAAAGATGTCCATGTGTTTGGCCATCGGGAATACACATTGAAACGACAAGATGCCACCATACATCCACTGAAAGGCTGCACTCCAGGTGTCAGCAAGGATGTGAAACAACTGGAACCCTTACCAATGAGTGCGTGAAAATGCTACAGCCAGTATGGAAGCCAGTTTGGTGCTTCCTTAACAGTAAGACCCAGCCATGCCGCTTCTGTATATTCACCCCTGAGAAATGAAACCTTTCCATAGAGACTTGTATGTGAATGTTCATAGCCACTTTGCTCAAAATAGCCCCAAACTGGGGCAGCAGAAGTATCGAGAGAGTGGGTTAACAAACTGTGGTGTAGCCGTTCATTGGGATACTGCTGAGCACTGCAAAGAAACGAACTACTCAGAGATGCAGCAACACGCGGTAGTCTCAGACTTTGCTGAGCACCAGCAGCCAGACAGAAAACGGGCCATGTTGTATCATGCCATTTAAAAGTTTCAGAATAAGCAGAGCTGATCCGTAGTGACAGAAAGCAGATTGGTGTTTGCCTGCAGTGGGGACTGCAGAGGGTAGACTTCATTTGCCTGATGGGGTTTCAGAATAGTATTGTACAATCAAGCTTCACTTCCTCACCTTACATGTATGTTTTCTACTGTGGTTCCACTGTACCTAATACGGTTTTCTTTCTAATTAGGGAAAACGTGCCATTTTTAAAATTCCGAATTCCTCCCATTCCAGTCCTTTCTGTCACTACTTTTAGAGAATAGCTGTATTCTGGCATTTAAAAAAATACTTTGCTACTTTCATAGCAGGCGAAATTTCTGCTCAAAAAAAAAAAAAAAAAAACAAGCTGTGGAGCAGATTGTTTTCTGCTGTTCTAGCCCAAGAACAAAGGAATGTTGCTGACTTTCAATTTTTTAAATTGCATTTTAGGTTTTGGGGTACGTGGGAAGAACATGCAAGATTGTTGCATAGGTACACACATGGCAGTGTGATTGATGTGCTGCCTTCCTCCCCATCACATATAAAAAGTTTTTTTTTTTAAACCTAGGCTAAAAAAATAAAACGGCAAAACAGCCTGTGCCAGGAATGTTAGGAAATAGCTTTCACGTCTGAGGGAATTTCTCTTCAAATTTAAAATTTTTGACCAATATGCAGATAACTCCCATCAGAGGCGTGCGAGAGCAGATGGCACTGAGAGCTGTGTGAGGCCGGAGTCTGTGGGAGCAGACAGCTCACCAAGGTCTCTCAGAGGTCTGGCCTGCCTGTCCCAGACTCCTGTGCCCTTAGGATGGAGCACCCGTAGCATGCATGCTCGCGTGAGCACCTGGAATTACACACTACTCTAGCTTTTGGTCCTCAGGTGCTTGCTCTGTAACCCTCCTGTGAATTTGCTCACAGTAACAACCTACTTTCTTCTTTTTCAGACCCAAGCATCTCTACGTTAGATTTCTATTAGGTAACATATTTGGCAACAGGTTTTATTTTTAAACATGCTTTTCATATACGTTAAACCACCATCCCATATAAATGTAGCCAGGATAGTAACTTAATACAATTTATCACTCTGACTACAGTGTTCAGCAGTGTGGTCACCAAGCCGTCTCATGGACAGTCTGCCACCTGGGTTCCCTCCTCATGTCTCTGAATAAGTCATTTGTGATTTTAGAATCCCTTGCAGACTGTTGCCCAAACATTTGTAGTCTTTCATTTGTATTTGACGTGCTACTTTGTGAACTTGCCTACTTCTTTAGAAGTAGCCAGCAGGATATTCTAACTGGTTTTTTAAGAGGTGTCTCTGATGACTTTCTCAGCCATTCCTCACAGCTGTTGCTCCTGCATACGGGGCTGTAGAGCTCCAGGGAGCAGGGACTTCGTTCCATCTTGTTCTCTGTTGCATCTCTGTGTCTAGATCTCTGCCAGACATGCTGAAAAAGGCTTAGCAAATGTTGGTAAAAGTTCCTTTAAATGGAGTAAAAATGCAAAGGGGCACTGCAGGATAGTTTATTCAAAGGATGACTTAATGGGATAATAGGCATCGAGTCAGATATTCACTTTCATATTTAGGCATGCTTAACACATATTTTGTCCTTTTCATGCGTGAAAATTGCAGTTCACTTAAAATGCAGTCCTAATTTTGTATGTCTGCACATTTCTT